TGTGTGTGTGTGTGTGTGTGTGTGTGTGTGTGTGTGAGTGTGTCTGTGTGTGTGTGTGTGTGTGATATAATATTAGCATTTTTGTGTAGTATTCTGTATGATTCCAGTGCAGCAGCAGCATCAGCTTAATTTCTGATTCATCATTCATGTTATCATTTATTTCTCTCTCTTATATTTAAAGGCATCTGAAGTGAATTCGATTTGACAGGTTTTGCACATTTTATAAAGATGAAGAAGTGTCTATATAGTCCGCTAGACTGTGTGTGGCTTCTTTTAAAATGTTGCATCTGTCCCTAAATACATAAACTCTTCATCAGGTCTGATTTAATGTTGTAGAATATGCACACATTTATATGCACTTGAATTGACATATGAGACACATTAAACAGATCGTAGAAGCAGCATGTTAAGAGTTATGATCATACTGTAAAAAAAAAAAGATTCTTCAGAGTTGTAAATAAAACAAAGATTATTGCAGTTTTTACAAGAACATATTTCAGTCTTTTTCACATTTAATTCAATGTGTTACCATTTCTTTGTAATTATTTGTGAAATTTAATAGCACGACATAGTTTCTACATTGTTACATCTTACACTTCAGTAATAAAAGACAAAACACATGCTGTGCAAATAAAACGCATTATAACAGTCATTTATCAGCATCAGATTAACCATATCTTTATCTGTTTATTAATGTGGAAAATGATGCATGTCTGTATATCCAGTGGATTATTCCAGTAGTTCAGCGCTAGACAAACACAGACATAAATATTTATCCTGAAATTAGATACAAAAATAAAATCAAAGCATCTGATCATCCAAATGCCGCAGATTTTCTCAGAACTACTTTCACTTTTCTGAGCCACTGCATTAATGTCTCTCTGTATAAACAGAGAGCAGAGTACAGTACTAAAGTGCTGTCATATTCATTAGGATAATAATAAATGACCCCAAAGTGCAAAATCATTACAGTATCATTCAGTCAGAGTCACTAAAGCAGAACATGTGATGAATCACAGGAACATTCAGCACATGCATGAAACAATCACAGGTTTGTTCTGAAAGGCGCAAAAATGCAATAATAAACCAGATAATTATGAATATAATTACAACTTCAACATAAACAGCCTGCTATGAACTTTTTCTTCCTATGCATTATCCCTGCAGCACAAAAGCAGTGTTGAGTCGCTGGGGGATATTTGTAGCAATAGCCAACAATACATTGTATGGGTCACAATTATACATTTCTCTTTTATGCCAAAAATCATTAGGATATTAAGTAAAGATCATGTTCCATGAAGATATTTTGTAAATGTCCTACCGTAAATATATAAAAACGTAATGTTTGATTAGTAATATGCATTGCTAAGAACTTCATTTGGACAACTTTAAAGATGATTTTCTCAATATTTAGATTTTTTTCACCCTCAGATTCCAGATTTTCAAATAGCTGTATCTCAGACAAATATTGTGCTATCCTAACAAACCATACATCAATGGAAAACTATTTATTCAGCTTTCAGATGATGCATATTTTTCAACTTGTTTTCTTTGAAATAGCACTGCTCTTGTATTTCTGTCTGGAATGGATTGATTCTAGGCCTGACTGGTCTGAACTCATGCACGTCAGTTTTTGAGATAATAAAAACTTTATTGGTGGGTAAACTTTGCGGTAAACTGAGGATTGTGGCAGGCTCGGACCCTTGTCGGCCCATCTGCGCAGCGGGCTCTGCTCGTCGATGAAGTGGTAGAAGGTGAGCGGGAGGATGAGGAAGGGGCTCTCGCTGGCCGTGTCCACGCTGAAGGTCACGTTCTTCTGGTCCAAACGCACCGTCTCGCCCTCCTTTGGGACGCACGGCTGTAAAAGCTTCCCAGTCACCTGAAAAAAATCACATTAATTGCATTTGTCCTCAAAGAACTCGCAATATTTCACTGCCAAAACATAGTGTCTACATGAGCACATTTCCATGTGCAACCAGCGCATAAAAATTATTAATATATATAAATATATTAGTGCTGTCAAACGATTAATCGCATCCAAAATAATAGTTTTTGTTTACATAATATATGTGTGTGTTCTGTGTATATTTATTATGTATATATAAATACAAACACATACAGTACATATTTTGAAAATATTTACATGTATGTACATTTATATATTTATATTCTTATATTTTATATTATATATAAATATATTTAATATATAAACATAACATATTTTTCTTAAATGTATACATGCATGTGTGTGTATTTATATATACATAATAAATATATTACACACGTATATTATGTAAACAAAAACTTTTATTTCGGATGCGATTAATCACGATTAATCATTTGACAGCACTAATATATATATAACTGTATATAATATATATGTACAGTTTAGGTCAAAAGTTTACATCCCCATTTCAGTATCTGCAAAATGTTAATTATTTTACCAAAATAAGAGGGATCATGCAAAATGCATGTTATTATTTATTTAGTACTGACCTGAATAAGATATTTCACATAAAAGATGTTTACATATAGCCCACAAGAGAAATTAATAGCTGAATTTATAAAAATGACCCCGTTTTAAAGTGATTTTTAATGCTGTGTTGTTACCTGAATGATCCACAGCTGTGTGTTTTTGTTTAGTGATAGTTGTTCATGAGTCCTTTGTTTGTCCTGAACAGTTACATTTCCTGCTGTTCTTCAGAAAAATCCTTCAGGTCCCATAAATTCTTTGGTTTTCCAGCATCTTTGTGTATTTGAACCCTTTCCAACAATGACTGTATAATTTTGAGATCCATCTTTTTAAACTGAGGACAACTGAGGGTCTCATACACAACTATTACAGAAGGTTCAAACGCTCACTGATGCTCCAGAAAGAAAAACCATGCATTAAGAGTGGGGGGTGAAAACTTTTGAACAGAATGGAGATGTGTACACTTTTCTTATTTTGCCTAAATATCATATTTTTTCATTTAGTACTGCCCTTCAGAGGCTACAGTAGATAGTTACATGTTCCCAGAAGGCTAAATAAGTTAAATTTACCCTGATCTTCAAATTCAAAAAGTGTCATTTTCTTCTGTGTGACAAATCAATAGATAAATAAATAAATAAATCATTAACTGGCGTCCTTGTTAAAGTGATCATTCTCTCCTCAGGTTACCTGGCAGCCCAGCAGCAGACTCTTGCGCATGTTGGCGACTCGTATCATGAGACTCGGTCGACCGTCGTGATTAGTTATTACAGCATGCTGACTGAACCGAATCGTCCCGCCACGCTTCTTCGGCCGAGCCACCTGAGACAGAGAGAAGAACAAACGTGTCTGGGTCATATTTCACCCCGAAATATAGATACTTAAATCATAAAAACATTTAAAAATGTATTGCAGTAATAAAACACTAATGAGAATCAGTATTGAGGAAAAGAATTACAAAAATATCTGGAGTAAAACATTTGGATGCATGAAAATAATGAGAACTTGGGATTAACATATATCATAATTGAAGTTCATAATTGAATTTGTGTCATAATTGATACATTTAGCAACATTAGCACTGTTATTTTCCTGTTCATGTCAGTGAAGCTGCTTTGTATAAAATGCTGTATAAATCAACGTGACTTGAATTAACTGTTTAAACAATAATATACATTTGTTACTTTAACATACAACTTATTTTGATATATATATATATATATATATATATACAGTGGGTACGGAAAGTATTCAGACCCCCTTAAATTTTTCACAGCAAAGGGTCTGAATATTTAGGACCATGTGATATTTCAGTTTTTCTTTTTTAATAAATCTGCAAAAATGTCAACAATTCTGTGTTTTTCTGTCAATATGGGGTGCTGTGTGTACATTAATGAGGAAAAAAAATTAACTTAAATGATTTTAGCAAATGGCTGCAATATAACAAAGAGTGAAAAATTTAAGGGGGTCTGAATACTTTCCGTACCCACTGTATATATATAATTTATTTTATTTTGAAGTATATTGTGACCTGTTTTGTAGGTTAATATTTATATATATATACACTGAAAAAATTATTCATTGAATTTACTTTTTTTTAAGGTAAGTGGTTGCAATCAATTTATTTTAGCTACATTTAAATAAACAAATTTAAATGACTAACTTTCAACATTTTTTTTAAATGTAGCTAAAATAAATTGTTTGCAACCACTTACCTTAAAAAATGTAGTATCATTTTTTTCAGTGTATTATTATGTATATGTTACTTTAATGTACATTTTATTTTATTTTATTTTACTTTGCATTGCTTTGCTTTGAAGCACAATGTGACCTGCATGTTTTCTGTGTTCAGGTGAGTAAATGAATGCACACCTTGGCGAGGAAGGTTCCAGTGATGAAGATCTCCATGGCGGTGGTGATGAGAAGCTGGATGATGAGCAGGACAATGGCAGACGGACATTCCTCCGTGATGCAGCGGTATCCGTATCCGATGGTGGTCTGAGTCTCCAGCGAGAAGAGAAAGGCTGCGGTCAGCGTTTGCATCTGCATCACACACATACTGTGGTTTGCTGGAGGATCAAACTCTACGGAAGAAACACATACATCAGACGCAAACTGATGCATACAAACAAGCACATGGATGTAATAGGGGTTTTATTTTATTGAATGGACTCTGGCTTACTGTATCACAGAAAAACAATATTTATCAAAACAAATCTTTTCATTATTGAGTTTATAAGGTTAAAACAACTTTACATGTAGCAAAAACATTTTATTAAATTAAAATGAAGAAAGAAAATTCATTTTGATGAAAGATTAGGCCAAAATAAACATTATTTCTTTATAATAACATGTATGGAATATTAGGGCTGTTATTGTTAACCAAAATTAAAATTAAAACTATAAATAGAAAATTTTTGTTAATTGAAATAATATAAATGTTAACTGAAATAATATAAAATATAAAAAAATTACTTATTTTATATCAGCTAATAAATAAAATAAAAATTAAAAATGACAAAAAAAACAACAAAATTACTAAAACTTTAACAAATGATAATTTAAAAAAATAATAATTCCAAATACTAATAAAAACTGGAACAAAATAATTATTATTCTAAAATAACTCCAGGAACATGAATAAGTCCAGGAACATGAATTAAGAAAGTCACTTTATGTTGATTTTAATTTTATTTCTTACCGAGCAGGTCTCCATGCACCAAAGCCAGCAGGTACCACAGCATTCCGAAGGTGAACCAGGTTCCCACAAACGTGGCACTGAACAGAACCAGTTTGTACCGCCACTGCATGTCCACAAAGGTGGTCCAGGGGTCACGCAGGTACAGAGCGCCACGCCCACTCACGTGCTCGATGCGGACGTTGCTCCGCCCATCCTTGGTTAGAACCCGCCTCCGGCGTGCCACCTGACTTCCGTGCCCCGCCCCCCCGAGTAGAGGCTTTAGGATGTCTGTCTGTGTCTGGGAGTGGCACACCTTTTGAGGGGCGGGGCTTTGAGAAGAAGGGGGTGTGGCCGATGTCATCTGGAGAAGAAACTATTTTTTAACTTTTTTTTTCTTTAGTAAAGTATAAGTTGTTTACATTCACATTAACATGTATGCATTTGACAGATGCAGTAAAATTTGCTATTTTTTGTATGGTATGTTTAAATATGCAAATTATGCATTATCTAAATAAATATGCATACATTTTCAGAGCAGAAATCTGAACATTGGTTCAAAATTCTTGTTTGATTTTCTTGATATATAGACGTTAAAGTTTTTTACTGTTGGGATTTTGTATTTCTCTTTTTTATCACTCAGATAAATCAGAAAATACTGTCAACAGACAGAACTTTTTTTTTTTACTATGTTTTTAGGAGTAAAATGTTGTATAAATCAGTGTGAATGTTTTTTAAACAAACCCCTCAGTAAAACCCTTCAGAATACAGATAGGAATTAAACTGTAAGTTTTGGTGTATGTAAGTTCTGCTGAAGTGGAGAAAACTCACAACCTTTAAAAATATGCATTTTCACCACATTTTTAGGAATAAAATGTAAAAACTAAATATCAGTGTAAATGTTATATGAACAAACCCTCTCAGTAAAAGCCTTCAGAATATAGATAGGAATAAAACCCTAAGTTCTGATGTATGTAAGTTTTGCTGAAGTGGAGAAAAAAACTCATTGGAATTAAAGATTTGCATTTTTACCATGTTTTTAGGAGTAAAATGTTGTACAAATCAGTGTGAATGTTATTTAAACAAACCCCTCAGTAAAAACCTTCAGAATATAGAGAGGAATTAAACTGTAAGTTTTGGTGTATGTAAGTTTTGCTGAAGTGGAGAAAAAAACTAATTGGGAAATTAAAGATTTGCATTTTTACCATGTTTTTAGGAGTAAAATGTTGTATAAACCAGTGTGAATGATATTTAAATAAACCCCTCAGTAAAAACCTCCAGAATATACATGTAAAGAAAGCTGCTAAGTCTGGTGTATGTAAGTGTTACTGAAGTGGAGAAACAAACTCATTTTTAGAAAACAGCCTGAAATCTACAGACGCAAAGTGTAATAAAATAAACACTTAAATGTATATTTTCGATGCTCTCTGTCTCAAAATTGACTAGTGCATTGACTAACAGGCCACAGCTAAAACACAATGTCTTTTGCTGCTTGAAATACAAATATACACATTTAGATGCCATGATATTCAGCTCATTCAGTGGCCTTCAGTGTTTTCTGCAGTACTTTTGTTTTGTGGTGTAGATTTCAGTCCGCAGGGAGAAGATCTTGTTGAATGTAATTTATCTGGTTAATCAGGTGAACAGAATGGATTATTTTACACGAGAGAGACTTTAACCAACAATGAGACAAAAGAGACAAACTAAATGAGGGCATGTGGAAAACATCTAGACTGTCTCTCCTCATCTGCCATATAAACTCATTATCACACAGCAGAAAAATTATGTTTTCTTCAATATTTTTTATTTGTTTTCTAGTACAAATATACTGGAGTATAAAATTTACTGAAGAAGCAAAATGAGTTAAGATATTAAGCCTCTTTTTTTAACTTAAACTAAGTTTATGTTTAAATCAAGACTAAATATATGTTAATATAGGGTCAGAAAAATAATACTGTTTTCCCTTTGATTTAAGTTGATTTTTCTGATCCCATTGACAGATATTTGTTCTCAACTTAAACACAAACATAAACATTTTGTTTTTCAGAAAACAAGACTTAAATAAATAAAAAAACAATACCTGAATAAAAATTTGTATATCTAAATATCTGCATATTTTTAAAGTCCAAACACGCATTAAAACAAAGTCTCTCTTTTCTTTTTCAGCAGAATGATTCATGGTAAAGACTGAATGTGTTTAATACTCGTGATGTGTTTTAGTCTCTCTGCTTCCACCTTATCAGCACTTCCAGTTTCTGTCTGTCTCTCTTTCTCAACTCGTCTCTCTCTCTCGGGTACAAAGGAACGTATTGTTTGAAACACTAACCAACGGGACAAAACCGACCACTGACAAACATATCTTTGTGTGTGTGTGTGTGTGTGTGTGTGTGTGTGTGTGAGTGTGTGTGTGTTAAATTATGATTAAGATGAAAACTGGTTGTAAAACATAGCATAAATAGAAACCAGTTACAGCACTTAAAATCTTGATGTTAATAAATAAATGAATGGACATTTTGCAATAACAACCCAAATATATTATATTATATTATATTATATTATATTATATTATATTTTTAATATAACCTATTTTTGTAATTAATATTTGGATGACAGTAAAATTTGGGTAGCATTTTATTTTTAATATGCACATCAAAATTGCATATGACCAAAATGTTTGTATAAATAAGAAATAAAATAAGAAGTAAAAAAAGAACACATACTTTTGAACTTTAAAATTCAGGCAGCTTATTTTTTAGTACTCTTTATACTCTTATTTTTACTTTTATTTTATTGTTTTTTCATAATTGAATTTGAAAAGAAATCAAATAAGGAACAACTGTTCACTCTAACTTTCTTAATAGGTAATAAATAAACACTTCATCATATTTTTCATATGTAATGTTTTTTTAAATTTTTTTTTATCTCAGCCTAAATAATGTATCCTAAATCTATCAGTATATGATTATTGCACTTGGGATATTTGTGCAGAAGTTTAATATAGCAGTGATGTCTTGATGCTTTAGTGCTGGTGTGAAAGCAGAAACTGAATTAAAGGGCTTTTCTTCCACGCTCTCATTCAGTTTTAATCTTCATTTGGGGTTTTTTGTTCTGATTCAGGCACTTTGCACAAACGTCCTCTACACGTGTGGATGTCAGGGGTTTGTGAAGTGCTGGAACAGAACATCCTGAGAACAGCAGCTCACAAAAGAAGCTGTGAGAGGAATGAGAACTCCAGAGTGATGAGGCGTTTCATTAATGAGAGATGCAGGAGGAGAACACTGAGAGAATGAGAGAAAGAGTGAGTGATGCTGCTGCTGCTGCTGAACACTGTGAGCTGCAGGGGGCGCTGTGTGTGTCACATCCATCACTGCATGCACTCCTGCACGGTAAGCAGACTTTATACCTTATAGAAATTAAACAAAAATAAATACATATAAATATATTTGATATACTTCAAAGTTTTTAATTATAGAAGTATTTTATTTTATTAAGTTAATGAAATAAATCTAAAACTAATCTATTTTTAGAACTAAATCGGTTTTGTGTTGTATATATATCCTTTTATAAGTATATACAGTGGGGCAAAAAAGTATTTAGTCAGCCACCAATTGTGCAAGTTCTCCCACTTAAAAAGATGAGAGAGGCCTGTAATTTTCATCATAGGTATACCTCAACTAAGAGAGACAAAATGAGAAAAAAAAATCCAGAAAATCACATTGTAGGATTTTTAAAGAATTAATTGGTAAATTCCTCGGTAAAATAAGTATTTGGTCACCTACAAACAAGCAAGATTTCTGGCCCTCACAGACCTGTAACTTCTTCTTTAAGAGACTCCTCTGTCCTCCACT